AGCTGCTCATCCGTGGGTGGGCAAAGACCAGATGAGCGGATTCCTGCTAGCATGTGGAGTGTCAGGAAGACGAGGCACGGAACCTTCGCTGCTGCCTGAACACGTGGGAGGGTTTCCTTCCCTGGCGGTGCCGGGCTGACAGCCCCTGGCCTTGCTTTCTCCTGCCTGTGCTTACAAAAGGGCTTCGCTCTCAGTGACTGTGTTCCTTACCTGGCCCCACGGGTGCAGCTGTTCTGGGAGCAGAATCCAAGAGGAGAGTCGCTGCTTCAGCACCGCCACGCTTTGGCGCTCTTAAATCACACCTCCATTGCCTGATTTGCTTTTTGAAAGCACAGAAATAAGATTCCTCTGTTAACAGAGTGTGAGGAGGGAAGGGTGCTGGTCCGGGCTGGCTCCCACCGCTGGGGTGGGGCTCAGCAGAGCACCAGGGGAAGGGTTACAATTATGAAGTACGTCCTTAATACTCATGGTGCAGTTCTAACAACAAATTCATTGATCCCTGTCTGATGCCACTGCAGAGTAGTGATTGCTGGTAAGGTCTGTTTGGTGGGGGGTTAAATGCAGTTTCTGTAGTGAGTTTCCCTATAGCAGAAAACTGTAGTTCCAGGTGTGACCTAAGGACTGCTTTAAGGTTAGGTTGATTTGTTTCCTGCAGCTCAAAGTGCTTAATACTGTTTAACAGAAATCTTGCTGCAACTTTACTTTTGGTTTTAGTTTATGGCAAATTCTTACCTAATGTGTTTCATTAAAGTATGGAGGGCCTAGTAACAACACAGTGTTACTGAAATATATTGAACACTGCATTTGCAAACTACCAAATAGCTTCTAGATGAATTAAGATATGGGTCTTTGAACCCATAAACTCTGTGTCTCCTGCAGACACATCTATAGACCTGCTTCCATGATGGTGCTCCTTTTGAGATGCAGCCATGGACAGCATGGTGTTGGGCTGGAGCAGAAACTTGCCTAAACTCTGCAGGTGATGTGGGTGAGGGGAGATTTTTTTTCCCTCTGTCAGCTTTTTTTAATCTTGTGTTTTGCCCACAGTCAAGGCACTGGGTGGTCCTGGCTTCATCACCCATCTGTGGGATTTCCATGGACTGTGGTGCAGAGCACTGTTAAATGCAGGAAGGTGTCAGTGGGGGATGGTGCTGCTGCAGGTGAAGGGCTGAGGCTCACTGGGTGTCTCCTGAAGAGTGGAGCACAGCTCTGTCTGCCTGCCTGGCTCCAACCGCACACGCAGGTCTCATCCTCACCAGCATGAGACCAGCTCACTAGAACCAGAACCTTTCAGCACACACAAGAACCCTGAAACTCCCTGGACTTGCATCATGTATATGTTGGCAGCATAGCTACTAAAAATTACAGCTGCCCTCAGAAAACTTATTATTCTCAGTGGTTTTGCCTAAAACTGATAGATGTACTTCAGGAAAACTATTTTGATTATCATAGTTTGTTGTGGCACTGTGTACTTGGGCAGAGGTGGGACTGAGATCTACAGATAGAACTTTAAAGCTTGAAATTTAGGTGGGGTGTGGCTGATGAAGATAAGTTCTGAGGTTATGGTTTGAGGGAAATCATGAAATTCTTTGGCTTTGGAATAAGCTGGTGAGAAATGCCTCTGGGGAGGACATGTCTGCGTTTTAGAATACAAAATTGTTTCTGAAGTCTCAGGAGCTGTGCAGTATTAAAAAAAAGGATGAATAAAGTGTTTAAAAGTAGGTGCAGAATGAAAGACAAGTCCTTATGAGGCCACAAAGACAATCAGGCCATATAGACAATCTGTGTTTTCACTTGCATATTTTGAACTGGGGTGAAGATGGCAGCTAACAGCAGCTGGTTTGAAGTGGAAAAGGAGGATTTCTTGTATTACTGGAACTTTTATTTTTGTACTCCAGAGCAGGATTTCCTACATGGAATGTGCAGAGGGGTGAGACCATTTTTCATGGCAGCATTATTCAGTAGCCAGTGTTCATCCTACATCTCACTTGCACACCACATGTACCTGTGCTACCTGCTACTCCTTGTTCTCTGTCTACTGAAACTTTGGTGCAGAAGCTCCTTGTTTACATGAAGCACTTTCTGATTAGGCTGGAAATTGACACCTTTTCCTTCTATAAATTAGATGGAAGTGACAGATTATTGACTATTTTGCTTGAGGATAGAGGTATAAACATTGTTTTTTTGAATGAGGGAGACTCATGCTCCTTGTTCTGTTAAAGAGAGAGCTCAGACTTGCATTTAGTGAGCAACATGCAAAAAGGTCTTATTCCCCTTTCCCCAAACCCAACTCCTCTTTTCCTTAGTATGTGGATGAATAACTTAATTCCTAAAACACATTCTTCCTTTGAAATGTTTTGTTGTTCCACAGAATTACTGTAGTTGTGTATTAGTAACTGCTGTGTTGATTGGCAGTTTCATGTTGTATTTTCCTGTTCTTAAGGATTTTCACTTATGAAATTAAGGCTGTAGCCACCTGTACTTGTAAGCCTTGGGTTTTGGTCCCAGAATGTCCCAAATGTATGTCTTTAGGGGTTCCTTTGGTTTGGGTTTGGGAAAGGGGTGGGGGCAAGAGGGGTTGGGTGTTTTGTATGGGTTTTTGGTTTGGTTTTGTTTCTGGGTTTTGTGGTTTTGGGGTTTTTTTTGAAAGAACACTAATGCTGTTTGAGGCACTGTTCTAATAATTCTATGCTTCTATGGTAGAGGTGGTGCTGAGCCCTGCTGGATGCAGGGAACAGCTTAGAGGGAAACGTGTAAAACCACATTTGGGGTTTCTGTAATTATCTGTACTGCCAGAAGGCAGCCCTGCCCTTGGCAGTGTTAAGAATTTGTTTCTTGTCCTTGTGTTGTTACTGGTATAAAGTCAAGTGCCTTCAATGCTAAAGGCTCAGAAAACTTTCTTAAACTGACTTCATGTCCTATGCAAGTGTTTTTTCTACAACCTGCATAACCAGTACTTTGTAAAACTTGTTTACGCTTCAATTGTACATAGTGTTTTTTTAAAAAAAATAGTATTTTTATTTAGGTACCTCCAAACTTGAATTCTAGTCTTGTGTGATGCATTGTAAAACAATACATTTCTCTTTTGAGTACCATTACAGTTGTAAAAAGGTTTTCACTGGTTCTATTTTTCTACTGTTGCTGAGAAGCATGTAACACTGACTTTATCCTACGTATAGTTGGCATTTCAAATAAATGGCTTGTATAGAATGTGGTTGTGTGGCTGCTTCCCCTGAGCTGCTGCTGCCGGCTGCACCCAGCACCCTGCCCTGCTCACCCAGGCTGCAGTGGCCGGGGCTGGGGGAAAGGGGCCCAGAATAAAGTGAAAAGGCTTTTGGGAAAAAAGGGGCACGATAACACAATAATGCTGTGAACACCAAAGACATGATACCAACCAGCGTGAAAGAGGGATTTGAAATTAGTCACTCTGATCAGGCAGTTAATACAGCTAAAAAGCATTTCAGTGAAGTAGTTCTGTGAGTTCTGGCTGGAGCCTGACTGCAGCCATGCCTTGTGAAAGGCACTGGGGCTGCTCAGAGCCGGGCCTTGGGCCGCAGCCCTGGCTGCAAGGAAGTGGGTGTTCATTTTCTCTTCACAGCAGCTGGACAGGTATGTTCAGTACCCAGCATTCCCAGGCTGCAGTTTCCCTGCCAAATCTTCCAGCTGACAGTTCATTACATCTGTGTCTCAGAAACAAGTGCCTCACTGCTTCAGGCAGTGACTAAAGTTCAGAAGTGTCATCTGGCCACTTGCCTGGTCCCACTCTGGTGTACGAGGGCAAAATACTGTGGGTTACATCCTGACACAGAGCACAGGTGGGTGAGGAGGGAGAAGTGTGTGGTCCCATGTGTTAATTAGACACTTTCACTCCCACACCCAGGAAGATGAGTTCTGGGAGCTTCCCAAATTAGACAATTTTAACATTTTTTCTTACAGGCTGTCACTTTGTAACAGTGCTTCTAAGCCTGCCTACCTCAGAGGAGACGAGGATGCCTGATGTCTGTCTGCTAAGGGGAGGCTTTTTGCATGGGGAGCTGAGTCCCTTCAGGTGAACCCTGCTTCAGCACAGGCTGAGAGCAGGAGTGGACAGTGCTCATGGTCAGTTCTGGCCCTGTGCTCTGCAACTGGAGCCACAGGAATTCTACACTTAACTCACTCCTTCCATCACTGCTGTATTTTCTCAAGCACAGCAAGGCTGACACTGGGCCATAAAGCATTTCTGTGATCTCTGGGGCCTTTTTTTATTTCCTGTGGAAGACACAGGAATTGCCTTTGGGTACGCTCTCCCTCACTCCTTCAGTGAAATACAGAAACTGCAACACAGAGGAAACATAACCCTGTCCTGCTCTGAACTCTACTTGCCAGCAGGCTGCCATCCCTTGTTTCACACCTGGGTCAGGTAGAAACAGAGGTCCAGAAATCCTGGGTTTGACTAGCCCTCATTAGACACCTTGGTGGCTTATCTAACAGGTCATCACTGGGCCCCCTGTGTCTTCCTGGATGGAGGATGGAAACAAAACACTACAGCAGCACTGAGGGAAAACAAGACAGTACACAGTGAACAGTTCTTTTAATCTTTTTATACTGTAGTTAGATGTGCAGTTACAGCTCCTGTAACAGTTGCTACCAAAAAAAGAGCATGTACAATACCCAGAGTTAAATTCAAAAGCAAATAGGAAAGGGCCCTGGGGTCGATGACACATTGAGCATGAGTCAGCAGTGCCCTGGCAGTCAGGAGGGCCACCCGTGTCCTGGGCTGCTTCAGGCCCAGCATCACCAGCCTCTATGCAGGGCAGGGAGTTGGATGTGGTGATCCTGATGGGTCCCTTCCAACTCAGCATAGCCTATGTTCTATGAAACTGCTCAGCTGAGTATCTATGCTAAACTACTGTTTGTAAATAAAATGGTCAGAAACAGTTAATAGTGAGCATGATAAAAGTCTACTTTGCTTTTCAAAAACCATTAACATGGAAGCAGAATAGTACCCCAGGATATAGAAATTCTCAAAAACTAGAAATTTAATGTATGTTTTGGGGGTCTAACTACATTAGGCTCCAAACTTACAAAATCTTAATTTTTAATTGCAGCTATGTGTAGTCTTAAAAGTCAGTGAAACATCTCCTGTCCCATGATTATCACAGTGGTTATAAAAAGAACATTCCATACTGTAGCAAAATACCAGGATGCTGCAGTGTTTTTAGCAACATTTATAAAGTAGAAGAAATTGCTGTAAGCTCATTTTTAAAATCAAAGCATATAACAAACCCCCCGACGCTTAGTTTGTAATTTAGTACCTCTTCCTAGCTCTTATGTTCTGATAAGCAAATTAAGATAATCTGAAACTTTTTTTACCACAGAAATCATCCCTGTCCAATACTAGAAATAAGGTTTTTGAATGTATAGAACCAGAGGGAACATTGTTGCATCAAGCCTAGGCCTGCTTTCCCGTTTGTGAGCAGCCCCGGGAGCGATTCCCCAGCGGGAGCGGGCAGGAGCCGGCAGCTCCCTCCTGCCGGGCCCACACGGGAATCGCTGCAGCCCCAAGGGAGGAGGCAGAGCCACTCAAGCAGGAAAGCGGCTCCCTGCCACCCAGGGGAGGGCAGGGCAGGGCAGGGCAGGGCGGGTTTAGCACAGGCACGGCTCCAGGCCCCGGCAGTCACCAGGGGAGCGGAGAACGGGGAGCAGCAGGACGCGCTGCTCCGGTACCCGCCCTCCTCCCCTGGAGACAGGGCCGGCTTTCCCGGGAATGCCGAGTCCATCGGTACTGAAATCCCTCTACGTGCAATGTAAGGATTTGTTAAGAACATGTTTTAGGTGCTACAAATGAAGGACGTATAAGACAAAATGATGATGTTTGTTGGACAGCTGGATTTTGATGAGAAGCCAAAAACTGAAGATGCCTTTTCTGTTTGCCAGTGAACATTGCTTTGCCATGTGTCCTTTCAGACCCAAACCCTCTCAGTCTAACTACAGTAGTACTGCATCCGGTTAGTCCGTCGCCTCTTCCGAGACTGAAATTCTTCAAAGAAGTGCTGAATGTCTTCTCTTTTAACCACCTAGAAGAAGCAGCATGAAACCCAAGTTGTGGTGCAAGAGCTTAATTAAAGGATCCTGCTTTATCTCCACACATAATACACAAAGCACAGAAAAGCAAATACCCTGAAATTTCTCTGCTACAGCTTTCCTCTTGCACCCAAGGAGAGAATTAATGCCCAAATTCTATTGTAGATAATACAAAGAGGGAAATTAGTTCCCCAAAGGCAGAACAAAGACATGGAGCAAAGCTTCCAATGGTATTTTAATGACTCTGACCTCTTGCTTTTATCATCAGAAAATTTAACACAAAGCAGGATTTTTACTAGCTCGCTTCAGGGTCATTCCAATGTAACTAAACATGGCAATACAGCAAATCAGCCAACAAAATGTGTTACTTAATAATGGCATGCAAATTCCTGCAGGAAAACAACTGACAAGACTGACAATTGTAGTCAGTCCTTATTCTTCTAAGGGTTTAGATTCAATCTAAGAAAAACCAGAAAAGTTAAGAGCTTTTCTTCCTGAATATCTTACCTAGAGCAACAGAAGTTTCATTTTAGTCTTAACAACTGCTCTCAGTACCTTGCAGACAGAGTTCTGTAAAGTTCCCATTACCTCGCAGCAATATCATTAAGGAATTGTTAAACTCAAATGAAATAAGGGATTTCAGATTTCTACTGTAGTACCAGCAACTCCAAGAGACAAGAAAAAACATTACAACAGAACATCATGGTATTCACCACCCAGCCCTCAGCAGTTCTTTAAAACACATTTTCTGGCAAACAGATTCTGGAAGTTGCATCTTACCGTTCCCTCATCTGCAAACCTCCTGAGATAGTCAGTCAGTTCTGTCTTTAAATCATTGTATTCTGGATGGCAAAGCAAAGGCAAAGAAAAAAACAGTAAGATATCCAGGTTTAGTTTAACACTGGCCCAAGAACACAACTCATTCTACTTCCTCTTGTCATTTGTTAGGTTTACTTCAGACAAATCTAGATTTTAATTAGATTATAAATAATATTAATGTAAACATGAGAAGCCTAATAATTTATGAGACTAACCTATGTAGTGTGAGTGTCTGTTTGGGTTGATTTCAGAGAAAGGTACAGAGATCAGTGAGTGAATAGTACAAGTAACTGAAGTTACTTTAAACTGGCCCTGCTCCCAGCTTCCCCACAAAAGCATGTGTGGGTCGTGGTGGGCAGGCCCAGCCTGCAACTCAGGACTGGGACACTGTCCTTGCCAGTGCTGAGCCCTGACTGCAGGAGAGAAACACAGCTCCAGGGATGGAACACCTCAGCACTGCCTTGTCACTGTGCTCTGCAGCAGAGCTACAGGGGACACCCAGCCAACAGGAGACTGACAAGCAACAGAACAGGGTAAGATAAATCAGCCAGACAGCAGAAGTTCAAATTAATGTTTAAATATTCATGTTATAATAAATCATTATCATTACAGTATCTAAGATGTTAAACAGATACTGTTTACTGTGTCACTGTAAATTTAAATTGTAATGATGGGCCAGAGAGGACCAATCCACACTGAGGTGTGTAACCTGTCATACAGTTGCCTGCATGTTACTTCAAAAATAGTTTGACACTACACTGCAAGGCCTGGTATCAATCTCCTGTGGCAAACTGTTCAGTTGCAGTGTGTTAAGGGAGACTCTAAAAATGAAATTGTATTTACCACAGATGAGTTCCACTTGCTGGACTCTGTTCATACTGTTAAGGGTGTCCATTAAAGGATCTCTCCTCTCTGTCTCTTGATCACTGGTACCCTTATTTTCATAAGCCAAGACAGTGTCACATTCGTCTGTCAGGAACTGGACTTCAAGCTCTGAATACATTTTCTGGAGAATAAAGTTAAATTGATGTGACAAAACTTCTCAGATGGAGGTGCTCTCCCCCAGTCCTTGCTGTGTTCAGTATCACAATTAACAACTATAAAAATAATAATGTGAATCTGTATCCAGATTGTTCCAGAATCTCCTCATAACAACTTCCAAGCAATACTGGATTAAAGCACCAAAGAAAATACAAACATTTAGAAGCCCTTTCCTGCTGCATTAACTCCACAGGATTCAGTGTGAATCTTTACGTGAAATGAAGGGAGGTTTCAGCATTAAGAATATTAACACAGATTTTACCTAAATCTTCTCCTCAGTGATTGTCTGGGAGCTCCTCCCTGCCTGTCCCACATCTGTGATGGTAATGAAGAGAACATACATACCAAACAGTCTTCACAAGTGCATAATTTGCTCCTCCAGTTCGATGGCCAAAAGGTGGCAGTATCTTTTTTTACAAATGGCTTGCTTTGGAGCTCTTTCAGCTTGCACACTGGCTCCTCACTCTTAGTAACTACCTGCATTAAAACGACAGTGTTCAGTACTCTGTAACATCACTTCAAAGAGACCCTGTTCTTTTTGGCATGTCCTTCTCCTTAGACAATAATTTTCTTCTGCCTCAAACACATTTATTTTTATAAACAACCTATATTACCATCTACATGAGAATTCTGATGTGGTTTCAGCAATTTCCATGGGAAATTTCTGTAGAAATTTACTGCAATAACTGTAAGTATTTAAGAACTCAGAGCTGGACCATCATGCAAGGGCAGCTACACCACAAACAGAAGTCACCTCAGTGTACTGGCCAGGTGGCTGAGAAGAAGGGACAGATGCAGCCCATCTGCAAACAGACCTGACACCTCTCAACAGCCCTGCTCCACAGCTCAGGCTGTGCTCCACAGAGACTGCAGGTCTGAAATGTCAGTGGCTGAAGGGGAACAAGAGAACAGACTGAACACCCCCTCCCTAGCCTGTACAGAGTGAGGTGGGCTTCACTTCGACTATCAGCAGCATGAAGATGTACAGGTCAGAACAGAAGGTACATTTTACCTCAGGACAGGCAGACCCAGAGCTAGTGGATGGTTCATTAAATTGTTCTGATTGCTTTTCCTCCTTTGTGTCACAGCGTTCCACTCCACTTTCTTTTTTTATTTCTTTCTTCTGCTCTTCACTTTCCTCTACCTTCAGGACAATCCCTTCATCTTCAAGGGAGCTTGCTTTGGTCAAAGGAGGAACTGGAAGATGCATACCCACAAGTAAAAATACTGTGCCAGAAAAAGTACAGGTCACTACAGATAATCTCTCAGCTTCTCCTATTCTAATACACTCTGCTTCCCAAACTCTAAGCCCTAGGAGAGGGAAGAGGGTATGTCAGAGTCCTTTACTAAGATGCTTGTCCTTGACACCTCTTGCTAGCTATCACAGTTTCAGTAACTGACACATGCTTTTTTGTCATGTGACTGTGTCAGAGTTTTTCATTTTCTCCAAACATACCTCAAAAACACCATCATAGATTAACTACACTAATCTCTTGTTTATTTAAAGCAGGTTTCTGTTTTGATGCCAATTCAAGTATGTGCCCTGTGACAAAGCTGGTTAGAAGGAGGAAAACCAAAACCAGACAAACGCCCCATTCTGTACTATTTACATTAGAAGGAAAAGGACTCCAGGTAGCCATCCTTGAAAATACCATTGAAATTTTGGGCAAACAAGAAAACTCTCAGCAGTTAATACAAGCAGAATTTTTAGGAGACTATGTTAAACTAGCTGTTTCTACAGAATTCAAGTAATCTATTCTTTTAAGTCCACAGAGCTGGTGTGACCACAGGGAATGTGTGTCCTGAGCACAGCACCAGCCCTACTCAGATTAATGTTAAACACATTCATTTCAGGTCACTATCGTTCACTCTTTGCTGCTCAGAGCATCTGTAAGAAGTGTTTGTCTCACTGCTTCCCTTAGGATGGCTCTTCAGTTCTTTGATCCAGTTTAGAAATTAAGTTCCTTGACTCAAGTATTAGATCTTCATCCATTTTGTACTAGACATCTTTGATAAAGTAACTAAAAGCAAGCAGCACTGAATCAAGATTTAAGAATGGAAACTGTTTGTTTTTAACACAAGTTACTGCCACCCCACATGTTCTGCTGCTGAAGGTGATTGTCCAATATAATTAATGAGTATCATTTCTCCAACCACTTACAACCAGTGTTATGTCATTAACCAACCATGTACAAGAAATACATGCTCAGAAAAAAAAAATACTGGCTCAGATCTCTTAACTTTCTTTACCTGCTAATTGTGATGCATAGGCCCACAGGAAATGGCAACGTTTCATGCAGGCCTGGCACACCATTTCATGGAAGTCTCCACTTTCAGGGGGAACTGCACCAAGATGCTGTCAGAAAGAAGTAAGCACGCAGAAGTGAAGCATCTATATTGATCACACACTGAACTTCAGAAGAATTCAGTCCCAAAGCTGTCCATAAATTGATGAGAATTCTTTGGGCAATTAAAAGCACTTTCTTCTGAAAAACATTCCTGCAAAGCTCATAGTAGGCAGCACAACACACTTCATTCATACACTTAACACAAAGGAAGTTTATCGACAAGAACCCATAATTGAAACCAATCATATTTTTTTTCCTCTTTGATCCTGCAACTTCAAGCATGGAATTTCACTTGTGCCCTTCAAGGCACAAGAGGCTGAATCCTTAATGCTCACCCAGTAAGTAGGGTGCCCACTACAGTGCTTGGCTGCTTTCAAAAGACTTCCCCAAAGTTTGAAATCAAGAATTAACAGCACAGTCTGTTCCTTGCTACTTAAAGGAAGTAAGAGTTTAAAAGGCATTCTTTTGAAGGAAGAACTGTTTAGGTAATTGATAATGATGTGCCTCAGCAAGAATCTTTTTCCTCACCAGCTATGCTGATTAGAGTTTTCTAATTAAAGAGACAGTTATAAAGTTATTATTTTATTCTGCAGTGGTAACCTTCAAAAAGGTAGGACTCTTCCCAGTATTTTTTAACTAGAGTGGACAGCAGTGCAAGATTAGACTTTCAATGCTCCCTTTGCATAAGCTGAAAACAAATGCCTTGGAACTCCTGTAATAATCTCTTTTGAGAACTACAGCAAACTTCCCAAGTAAGAATTACCATAAAAACCTAACCACACCAACTCGATCCTGTGCAAATGCCAGCTCTGCTATTTATAAGCTTCCTTACCCTTCCATGGAACCAGTCTTCACAAACTATGCACTGGATCATCTCATCTGGAATCTAGATGAACAATCATATTATTGGCATTAATAGCAACCTCCAGAACCTCTCACCAGTCTCAAACTGCAGTATCATCATGCAAATGCTGCTCAGTGAATTGCACTTCCCTCTTCACCCCTCACAAGAGCTGCCACTAATAAGTAGTAAGTGCTTTGTTAGTTTGCTTCCCTCAGGTTCAGCAGCACATGCCACCCCTCATACGACTGAGGCTGTGAAATCCCATTTATTACTACAAAACCAGTCTTCCCACCAGTATTCTCACAGAAAGCTGACAGAAGTTAAAACACTACTGGTATCCTTCTTCCTATAAGCCGAAATGCATGAACAGACAGCTCAGCAGAAGAAAGATACTGATATTCACACTGTCATCAGGTCAGTGAAAGATGCCAGAACCAAACTTAACTGGTCACCATACAGGACAGCATGCAGTGCTTTGTAATGAAACAACTATTAATTATTTCTTCAGAAATGTTTTTATCTGTCTCTGAACTTGAGAGAGTGGAACTTATAAAATGCCTTTTTTTTTTATTTGAAAGATTTTTGTCTTCCCTGTTCTTTAAAACACCTGATTCCTGTGACTGCAAACAACAGCACACATGTGCAAAGCCAGTGCTGTGTTTTAGTTTCAGAGAGACAAAAAAGTGCTCTGGCTACCACCTAGGACTGTAGCTAGTGCTACAGGACAGGACAGACTCTGCCCATCCCAGAAGCCTTGCCAGAGCATTTCTGCAGGCACGGGGAAGCACATTCTGGTCTCTCCTAACACGTGCACTGCTTTTATTCTGCACTAGAACACATTTCTCAAGGTTATGGTAACCCTGTCTCCTAGGGGAACTCTGCAACTTCAGGAACTGCAGCACCATTTTGTCCAAATGATGACTTGCCTCCTCATCTGTCTCTAAGGCATAAACATACTTTACCATTTAAAAAAATTATCAAGTAATTACTTCACACAATGTATGCAAACCAATATAGAACATAAGATGTCTTGAAGTGGGATCTTCTTTGAAAGACCACCCTTCAATGATCATGATCACCCTTTACACAGTATCTACCATAAACACCATCTATATGTATGATTACTACTGGATTTTGTATTTCTTACCTCATCTTCAGGATCAGGGTAAGGTCTTTTACAGGTACAGTACAATCCATAGAAGTTGTCATTATATTTATTTCCTGAATTCACCTTGCCTTTTTCCTAGGAGAAAAGGGGGAAAAGTTTCAAAAGACAACACAGTAAAAAACAAAAGACAGCAAACGACAAAAAACAGCCATTTCTGTTCCCCCTTAATTCCTAAAACCATCACAATTTTCATCAGCCTGAATATACAAAGATACTCTCCAGACACCTCTGCTTTACACCAAGCAGCAGACAGGGCACATGAGGAATGCTAAAGTTAAAAACTAAAGAGGAAAACAGTCTGCTCACCCTTGTAGCAAATGGCAACTGTGGTGTCAGACAGATTAACAGACAGCTGCAGAAGCTCACTTAACCTGTACAATTGAATTTTCACTGAACTGAAGCAGAAGGAACAACCACGTGATCCATTTCATTGACTCAAATGAGAAATGGTAACAACTTAAAATTGTCACAGGTGTCTCTGTAGGGATCACTGGACTGTGACTTGCTGACTCGCTCTGGATCCATCTCAATTCTCCCAGAACAAAACAGGCATACACAAAACCACTGTCTGTTTCAGTGTTTGGACTGCTGTTATCCTGGAAGCACCAGTGCAAGCAAACCAAGCAGCATCCTGTTGCTGCTTCCCAGAAGACTGAGATTGCCAGTTACTTGAAAAGTTAAAAATGCCCACCAAGGAGAAAGTATAGGCAGCTTAATAATGTAAAAAACCATCCCATCAGCAGGCTCCAGTGACAAACTATTAGGGCACTAATGCCATCACAAAGAAGGGAACTGTCCCTGTGACAGCAGCACAGCCTTAAATTTTCTTAAGGCGACTGCAAAATTGCATCCCAAAAGGTTATTCTGAAACAGCTTAAAGCTAATGAGAGGTATGAGTGCAGAAACACCACAACCTGCTCCTGGAAGCGTGCTGACCATGGATACAGAACTGCTGCACTCATGGATGACAAGGAACAAATGTTCCTTCTGCTCCCAGCATGTCCCTTTGGTCCCTCAAATTTTATTCCTTGCTGTAATATTCCCACCTTTTTTAACTCCCTGGGAAGACTGGAGGTGTCACATGAGAGAGCGCCGGCTGAGGCAAGACACCAACCTCCCAAGATTGTTGTTTTAACTCCGAATGCCTGAAACCTGTCTCAAACTTACCGGGAGTAACTTGCACTGCAGATTTTTGAACTTGCTATTTCCACAGTCACAGCGGAAATTCCTGGAGAGAAAAACGTAGCGTTTCAGGGTTTATGTAAAGTGACAACACGCTGGGTTTCGTATTCCTAACAACTCCCAGCAGTCCATCAGGAGCCACGAGAGCTGCGAGGCTCCCACCCGGCCGCCCCCGCCCCCGCGGCCGTACCTCTTGGTGTAGAGCTCGAAGAGGCGGTGGGTGCCGTGGCACTCGTAGCTGCAGGCCAGGCAGATGCCCGCGGGCTCGGCGCCGGGCGGCGTGCAGGTGCTGCAGGCGTACAGCGCCTGCCGCTTCACGGCGCCCTGCGGGGACACCCCGCGCCGTGAGGGAGGCAAGGGCGGGGCCGCCCCGCACAGGCCCCGCCCCCCGGTAACTGCAGCGCTCGTGGTCGCTGCCCCCCAGCACGGCCCGCGCTTCCTTCTCCAGCTCCTCGTTCTCCGCCAGCACCTCCGCCAGGGACACCACGGGTTCCTCCGCGCCGCTCCCGCCGCTCCCCGGCTCGGCGCCCTCCGGAGCCGCCGCCTCCATCGCCGGGACGCGAAGGCCGAGGAGCGCGAAGCGAGGCGGGAAACGCGGGGCCAAGGAGGCGCCAGGGGGCGCCACAGCGGAAGCGGAATCGCGCGCGCCCCACGTGACCGCGGGCGGTGTGTCACGGCGGGGCGGGGCGGCCCGCGCGGCCGGCACGTGACCGGCGGGGCGGGCGGCGATGGCGNGCGCCGCCCGCGCCCCGCACCGTTCACCCGCGCCCGCCCCAACTCTGGCAGGTGCTGGCGGGGATGAGGACGACGACGACTACGAGGATGACGAGGAGGAGGAGGATGCAGGCGAAGAGGAAAACCACGTGGACGCGGCGGCGAGCGGCGATGACCCTCCCGTGAAGCGGACGAAGGTGCAGCAGCCGTGAGGGCGGCGCCGGAGGCCGGGCCTGCGCTGGACAGGCTGTGCCGACTGTGAGTGTCCCGGGCCCGCTGCTCGGACCGGCTCTGCGGCGCTGCTGCTCCCGTTTACATGCGAAACGCCCATCCCGACACGGGTCTAATACGGAAACCTTTCCGAAAGGATGCGCCTGGGTGGGAGCAGCGTGTTGCTTGCAGCGTGACGGTGTTGTGCTGGCACCAGTCCTTTGGTAAACTAGTTGGCAAGTATAGACTTTTCTCACAAATCTTCTGATGGGTGTGTTTTTTAATAACTTATTCTGAGTCACAGTAATTCTTCATGTGACACCATTTTTAAAATAAAGCAGTAAAACCTCAAAAAAGTTATTTTGTCAAATGTTGTCTTTAAAAGTACAAGACAGCTTGTGTTTGTATGGAGAAAAAGCAATATAAGACCACTATAAGTATCAAAATTAACAAGCATGTATAAGACTGGGCCCCTTCTGTACAATCTTACAGTGGAAGATGATTTTTGCCTATCATTGACAAGGTTTAGTCACCTGTCAATCAAGAAGCTTCTGTAAACAGGTATAAAACACTCTTGATAGTCACTCCATAGAGCCTTAACCCTAAGAGTGTTCTCTAGCAGAATTTAATTGCCTGAATTAATACTGTAAAAAGCATTTTGGGGGGTTATTTTCATTTTCATGTGTTCTAGCACAATTTGTTAATATATTATGGAAACGGAGCAAATCTTGAGACTTACATACATAAGACAAAGTGTGGAAATAAATTAACCTTTTATGAGGACAAAATTGTCTGCATTCGTTTGAAATGCAGGGAGGACCCAGAAATGAGGTTCACTAAGCGTGTCTTTGACATTTATGTACTCAGGTACTCTAAGACACTCTGTTGGCAGATGGGATAGAGGCATAACTGAAAAGACGCTTTCCACTTCAAGCTCAAATCCTTACACACACAGCATTTGAGTGAATTAGACTGTGTGTTTTTCTGTAGTTAGTTGCAAAGCACCTGCCTGTCAACAGCTGGAATCCAAAACTAGGCTTCTGATGGAAGAGTCTAGGACCACGAGCCTCCGTTCTGCAAGTCCCCGCCCACCGTGCCCAGCACACGCTCCACATCCAGACAGCTTGGGTCATCCCACCAGGCCTGCCAGTGAAATTGCTAAGGGTCACATGCTCGGATGACAGAAAATTAGGTAGTTCTTCCTATCATTTTCTATTTTTGATGCTTCCTCTTATGCGCTTGACTCTTTAAATAATTCCATCTGCATACAATGTAACTGTTCAGTTTAAAACTACAGCGTCAAGTTAAAAACAGTCCAGCCAGAGGTATCTCTCTTACACAAAAGCAAAGAAACAAGGGGATTCAGTTTCATCCAGCAAGCCCCAAAATTTCAGGCTGCAAACAAGTAATTAGGGCACAGAGCATAAGGGGACAACAAAAGATAAACTGGACATGCACAGAGGGAAGGACATGAGCACAGGCTACAGTAATGACAGGCAGCACTGCTGTCTGGCACCAAACATGCAAAAATACCCCAGTAAAACAAAAACAAACAACAAAAAATGAAAAGCTGTTGATAAGTATCTGCATTAATAGACTTGTGTTTATAAACATTGAAAAGTTTTTATTTTATAGATAAATAGCATGGTGATTTTAAAAGTTGAGAAACAACACAACTTAAAAGCTTTGATTCCCCAAGATACTAACTACTTGTCAGAGTTTATAATTTACTCTTACTCCAGCACACTAAGATGGCAGCTTCCTCCTTTTCATATTGCACTTAGAACTCAAACCCTTCTTGCAAAGGCTACATTGTTTTCAGGTCCTAGCACCAATGCTGACAATTGAAACCAGTGTCTCAAAGTATCTCCAAGTGCAAACGGAAAGTTTAAGGTGTTGGAACTGCCATGCTCAAACACAGCAACAGTGAAAATAGTGTTCTCTTTCCAAAGCAAGAGAAAGACAACACTCTCCAGGATTCCTTTAAAGCAGTCACAAATAGATTGGCATTTGTGATGATTTGGTATGGACAATCATACACAGTTGAAGTTATAGTCAAGGAGTTTAGCTCATAATTCTTTTGAGCCTACTGCTTCTGAGAAGTGTATTTTGCAGTTTTCATGTTGTTACTTTCGTCATGGCTGGGACAAAAATTTAGTTATTCTCAGAAGAAACAAAAATGGACCAAAAGAAAGAACAGATTCAATCTTATTCAAAATATGCTGTTCCAAAATAGCACTGAAAAATAAGAGGCTGAAACTATGGCAAAGAAATCTCAATGGAATTTCAGTATGACTGAAGAAATTTACATTCATTACAAGAATGAGAAGAAGGTACCTTACTTCTTTGAATTTCTGGAAGAAACATGATTATCTGTCTTACAACCTGTTAGTAGCATCCCCCAAACAGTTAACTTTCCCAAATTCAAAGTTTTTCCTAATATATCAGTTCTCTTAGAACACAGTTTTTCATGATGTCAGGAGTGAAATTAGAATGGTCATAAATTTCAGTAACTTATAATTTTACAAGCGAGATGACAGGCGAAGGAAACACAAAAGAATTTTGTGCAGACTACAGGCCAATGCCAGCATAGGCTGCTTTTGATGTCATAGGAACAGTTTAATACATCAAGGTTCAGGCCTATGCCACTCCTCACTGCCTGCCTACTACAGTGTGGGACTGCTGTAACTGAAAACAAGTAGGCTACCACAGAAAAAAATGTAGTTTTTCCCTTTAAAGGTTTGCACAAACTTTATTCTTTGCTTCCTGTTTCTGTATCTAAACTTATTTTTTAAAAATTCCTTTAAAACAGCACTGATGTAGATAATCAATAAAAAAAAAAAGAAAAAGCAAAGAATTGTGTTAAGTGCAGCTTTTATAATCATGTTCTTAATTTCTTTTTTCCTTTTACATTTACCACAAAAGAAGTATCTTTTCATTGATTTCACTCCAAGAGAAAACATAGGAAATCACTTTTTTGCACAGAGGAGTAAAGTTGTGGACCAGAAACTTGTTTCCCCACAGGACATTTCAGATGGAGAGCTGCAATTTTGCATCATTAAGGCAAAACGAGGAATACTTCCATCACAGGTCTGTCCCACTCTGGCCACTCCATAGATCCATAATTAAAAACCTTTGCAGTTATTTGTTTTAAATAGAAAACAGTCATTCTCTTCATTGCTTATCAGTTTAAAGAAAAGGCTCTTTCCGGCCTTCACTCAGAGCTTCAGTCTTGTGATTAGATCAAGCATATGCAATTGCTTCAAATCAGCAACAGAAACTAGCAGTTGAGCTAAGTGTCAATTAGTTGTAATCTACTGATCTGATTAGAGGCCTTCACAAATGTTTGGTGACGATTGCAAATAACAGCCAAGCAGATAGGAATGATGCAATACCCAACAGTTTTGGGGTCAGCTCTTGTACAGGAATAGAGGAACAAGAACATCTGTAAGTACGGTATTAAAAATATTATCGTCCACAGCCAAAACGGCAGGGATAGCAGCCGTACTTTTAAGGAGTGTGTCCATGTGGTTCCTTCCTGTGGTTCCTTGGGGTGTTGCTGAATGTGCTCCAGTGCTAGTTTGTTGTAAGTCTCGTTGATTTCAAAGACGTAATAAAAAGCAGCAGCACTTGCTAACAAGTACAGCCCCACGCCAATCCAGCCCATCCTCTGGCGGAAGTTCATCATTCTCCATGCTCTGCACCTGAAACAAAAGGTGACAGAAACATTCAGTACAGCTTGGAAACAGAGGGAACAGATGAACCTTGCTTTTCATAAGTTAACTTTCTAGAACTTTTCATTATACATTAGTTAAAACACACACATCAATTTCTGAAGACCTGAGTTTTCTCTACATCATAGAAAATCATTACTCTGCCAGCAACAGGTTAATGGCAACAACACAAGAAGGTCCACTGCTGGCTCTGGACAGTTTAGGGCCTGCTGGCTATCAGGACATACCTGGCTTAAGTGAGGTACTCAGGGAATAAAACAAAAGGCATCAATTGGGTAAGTTACTTACCCCATCTGTCCTCAATGTCTCTAGACACAGAGTGGGCATAATGTAAGATTTTCTATAAATATGTAAAGTTTGCAAAGTTCTTTGATGCCTGCAAGACAAACATGCTGCTAGACAGCCAGTACCATCACTGCTTCTTTGTGGTGCAGCAACATCCACTTCTGTTGAGCTCTAGCTGAGTGCCCATTTATGAACCACAGAGAGGGATGTTTTCAATTTGAACACGAGGTTCAAGGGTTAGGCTGTACTGAAGGCCCAACTGCACAAATTATTGGAGCCCCACAGACACTACTGGGCTCAATTTGAGCTGCTTCAAATCTCCAGCTGGCCACATGGGTCTAGCTGACTGGAAACACTCTTCAAAGCAGTCACAAACACTTCAGCTGGAGTGTACATCCACGCAAATGAAGTCATCACCTCTTCTCCTCCAAACATCCCTTGCACAGGGCAGGGAGAACCACTCACTGCTTCTCTGCACCTTTAGGGTTCTCCAAAAAAAAAAACCACCTTTTTCAGACTCCTGGGCTTTTACCTACAGAGCGGTAAAATCCACCTATGTCGTGCTGTTTTAAGAAAATACATCCAGCCTTTAAAATACCATGCAGAACTGCTTACTTAAAAATGAATTATGCACAAAGAACAGTAACAATTCATGGAAGCATTCGAGAATTTACCATAAATGATACAAAATCATTACACCATTCTAAATCACCCTTTTTGAGCCAGACTAATTTGGCAATCCTACTTCCTGATTTTACATAAATGAGGAATATCCTCAATCCTGACGTGACAGAATCTGATCAAGACAGTCCTAGAGAAATCGTTCTGGCCCTCAGACTCCTGCATTCATGGTGACTACAAACATTCAGGGACATAAATACCTGAGAAGGAACAGCAAATACCTGAAAAGGAACAGTAAATACTTGAGAAAGCTATTGCAGACTTAAGTAATGTCAACTTCTCGTTCAGCTGATCCTTCTGTACAACTCAGCTGCACGTTTCCCTTTATTACCCCGAGTCAATACACGTTTAGTAGGACAACTGAAAAATTGTTGAAAGGAACTGTTAACCTATAAGGTAGAAACTTGAACCCCAGGTCTGCGTTTACCCGCTAAATGAGCCGCTGTTTTTTCCAGCAGTTCGGCATAGCCGAGCTGGCTCACGAGTTGTCGCCTTCGAGGAAAATAAACCATCATAAGGCATGTACATACTGAAAACATAAACAGCATCCAAACAGCAGTAGATTTAAGCAGGTAAACACAGCGCGTTTCGATCCTGCCCTTGAGCAGCAGCCAGAAGAGGAGCCTTAGCTCCCGGTTACATCGAAAGAGACCGAGCTAACAGAGTCATCTCATTGCTATTCTCCGTTTTCAGACCCAACTCCAACCTGCAGCTTTGGGGCACACCCGCGATGCTTCCCGGACCCCTTCAGCCCGCGGGGGCTCTGCCCCGCACGCACCGCCCGCCGGACCCGCGCTCCGGGCCACACGCGCCTCGCCGCCGGCAGCTCCTTACCTTCCTCCGGCGGAGAAGGAGGGAGCGGGAGGGCGGCGGCGGGCGGCCCGCTCCCCTCAGCCCGCGCCGCGGCGCCGGGAGGCGGCGAGTCCTGCGGGCGGGCGCGCGCCCCTCTGTGGCCGGAGCGGCCTCGCCCAAAATGGCGGCGCCGGCCTGAGGGGCGCTCGGCTCCCTCACGGGGCAGGCCCTCGGTGCTGTGTTCTGGCACAGGGGCGGCGTGAGCCGTCGAGGGGAGTAACAACAACGATTTCTAAGGAAGTTACAACAGAGACTGAAACAGTTCAACAAATGGCAAACGCGTAGTCAAGCCCCAGTAAATGCTTATATATAAACATGACGTAGTAGATTATTTCTATTAAATTAAATTATCAGGAGATATTATATGCTTATTATCCCATAGCAACGCGGTTTGGGACCAGGTGATCTTTAATGTCCATATGTTTCTATGATCTACTGGGGAAAAGCTTTTAATGATCCTAAAAGATCATTTAAATTGACAGCAAAATGAATACGGTCAGGTGTGTGCTGTTCCATGAGGCGACGATTTTGGGAGAGTTTGTGCAGAACCTGTTTGCCTGAACTCGGGAGCTGTGACGTGAGCTCCGTGCTAGTTAATGCTGAAAGTGCCTCTCATTACGTGTGAGGTGAAACCTGTTAGTGAATTATATCCCAAAGTCATGCGAAAACTACCCTTTCTTATTGTGAAAGCAGCAGTGGCCACAATTCACTCTCATCAGCTGTCATTAAGTTGAAGCAGGCTAAAAAAGGGTTTTAAAAGGAATACCCAATAAGAAACCAAAGCTAACAAAACATTGCTAAAGCAATGGCTTTTTTTTTGTTTGTGTCTAAATACATAGGATCTTCTGCCGCTTTTCTTGGGGAGGTAGTAGGTGCATGTGACACAGTATATAAGAGCTGCTGCTAAATCAAATCCATGATGGATTACAGCTGCTGTTTCAATGAAAAGCATTAGAAGCTGGTGTTTTGGATTATAGTCAGGACAACTGATGAAGAAATGCACAGAGCTGCAGATATCAGTAGAGAAAAAGGACACTTTTTGAGAGCCCACAAGAGTCAGAAATACAAATCCCCTGTCATACAGCAACTTCAAATTAAATTGTACTGTTTTGGGTTTTGTTTTTTGGGTTTGGTTTTGTTTTGTTTGTTGGGTTTTTGTTGTTTTCTTTTTTGTTTGGTTGGTTTTTTTTCTTGTTGTTTTGGTGGTGTTGTTTGGGGTTTTTTTTGTTTGTTTGGAGGTTTTTGTTGTTGGGGTTAATTATTATTATTATTGCTTTAATGCTCATTGAAGGCCCAAAAGTGACACAAGATGGCGCCCAGAACCACAGGCAGAGCCAACCTGAGCAACACCCTGACTCCCAGGTGAGAGATTTTACACTTTACCGTCAGTCGAATTAAGATTTCGTTATCTTTCATGAAGTTTAAATAAACCATTAGTGTAGTTCTGATGACAGATGTAGATATGAATAACTACATACAGCTAATTACCCCGGGACACGTCTCTCAACTAAATGCCATTCTTTCCATTCTTACAGGTGGTGAGGTCCAAGTTGATCTAAAAGTGAATAAAGTTCCTGTGTGGCTGACAGACCTTCCACTCAAGCATGGCTGTATTGCATTTTCTTATATTGAGGTTAGAGTTAATGATGAACTAGTTTATTTTAAAATACCCACCTAGATGTCAAAGAGGAGGCTTCCAGTATGAATTATGACTTCTTTGTGAATGTATGGCTTGGCAGTGGATACATGTGCTTAGTGTAAAGCCTGCATTTGCAATTAAGATTCTGAAGAAGAATCAGTGAAATGTGGACCTTATTCCTACTTAAGAAGCCTGTCTTTTCACTGAATGGTTGGAGTTGGAAAGAGAGGATGGTTTAGGATTTAATCTGCTTGTAAACCAAGTAGGTTAAAAAACTCAACCAAGGGTCTTCTGTGATAAACATAGAGCCTGAGATTGTGGCTTTAGAAAGAAGGATCTAAAAAATTTGAAGAGTTCTAACAATCACAAGCTGTCTTTGAAAGCTAAGGCATAACACCAGACAGAGTGATTTGTAGTATTTTTAGGCTAGATCTCAATCTGTATAAATTCAGTGTTATGCTTAATCTCTACCACAGTAAAGGAGGAGACAGAGCAAATAACTGAGGGTTCATTGGTTGGTTAGTTTTAGCAGCAGGCCTCTGAGGGGGGAGGGAATAATTCCAAAATTAGTAGGACAAGAAGCAACTGTTCTCAGCTCTCGACAAATTCCAGTCACAAGTGCTGGTAATAATAAGGGGAAAGAACTCATAACTCTGCATATTGAAATGAGAACATACACCTGGTGAGACTCAAAAGGATAATATTGAGCTTGGGAAACCAGAGAAGATAGAAGTCTGCTGAATCCAAAGGAAATAATATTTAACAAACAGAATCAAAGAATTAATCATTGGGTTTTGTAGCATTAAAAAGAAGTGTTTGACCTAGTTTTGACATATGATGTATTTTTATAGAAATATTTGGTTTATTTTGAAGGTAAGGCAGAAAAGCAATGGAGCAGCAAGAGCTGGCTGCTCCATAGAGGGCAGGAACCAAGCATAATAACACAGGTGATGGGCAAGAGCCTCACTGCCCAAGCCCAGTCCCACAGAGCCTGAGCAGGCAAGCAGGGAACATTGGATTCAGACAGGAGTACAGAGCATCAGGCAAGTAACAAGGCAGGTCCAAGGTCAAGCTGTGAAGGCAGTCCACAGGCCAGGGAGTGAGCCAGTGAGAACCACGGTCAGACATCCAGACATCACCTAGCAATTGCCATGAAGGTCCACACTGATAAGAAAAGACTGAGGTCAAGCTAGGAAGTCAGTCTGTGACTCCAGATAAACATGGTGTGGCACAGTCATGGCTGAGCTGTGGACACACACGGATACAGGTCAGGCATGAGCTGAAAGCACAGGGCTTGGCTAAAGTGGGGCTCCTGAGCCCATGGGAGGGGTCAGGTGAAGATTGTTGGGGCTATTAAGGCCTGTTAGGATGTTTAGGATCCTGACAAACTACTTAGGATAAGTGAGAGTTGACAAGAGGAATCAGAAGGGTTAGTGGTAATCTTTAAATCAAACAAAGCTTTCACAAGTCAGTATTAATAGAATGTCTTTCCTAGGCTTAGATTTTGGCCAAAATAGAAAAGTAAAGGTAGAATATCTGAGATGATTACAAAACCAAAATTAGCTGGCCTTTCAAATGGAAGGCAGAAGCTGAAGGACAGAATGCATCTCACATCCTTTTGGGTGGATCTTATGTTTATATTTGGCAGAGTTGTAGTAGGTTCTCACTGATAAGTAATCAAGGAGTGAGACTCTAGTAACAGAGTCATTTCTGTCAAGATAGCATTTGCCTTCCACTTTGTAGGACACTGATTTGTGATTCATCTAAAACATCACATTCTGGATCTTTTCCTTCTTAATCCTAACTCTAAACCAAACTTTTGGCTAGAGAACTAGGATCCTTACAGACTACATATATGTTGGGATTCCAAGGAGAAAACTCATGTGAATTTTTATCAGTGAGTGCATGAATGCACAGAGTTTTTCTGCAGCTTGTAGCAGTTTTACTTATTAGATGTAGTTACAGTGAATTTTGTAGTATCCTGTTGTGGTGTATTAAGTTGTTTCGATCAGTTTCTTATAATTCAGTGTGAGTCCAGAACATTAGTTTTCTTCAATTCACATGCTGTATTTTATGTTTTATGAATCTTTAGTTTGTATTTTAGAACTTTTGTTTCTTCTGAAAATAAGGCTATAATATTCTGATTCCCTTTTTTTCTTGGGTGGTTGTTTTGTCTGCACTGCTGTCTTTCTTTGAACTTTTTTCTTGGAGACACCAGTTTTCTTATAGGGTGTAGCACATTCATTTGGGAACATGCAAGAAACTTTTTTATAGGATTGAATTTTTGTATTTTATTTTTTCTCATTTTAAATTGAAATAGTATATTTGCTTGGTTTGGCTACACTGACCACATGAAGCTATTCAGTGAGCTGAATGGTGATCTTTATCACTTTTGACTTACTTTGTTTACTTTGAATTTCTGGGACCTTAAATTACCTTAATCTTAAATTCTCAGTTCCTGAAATTCAGCTTCTACCGTTTGTTTTTTGGCAGCAGCTGCATCTGAATTAGGCTTCAGGCAATCATGTTATCCAGCTTCTTTGAATACCATCCATACTTTGTTCTTAGTTGTAGAAATATTTATCATCTTTCCAACAAACTTTTTGATATTTACAAATGGAATAGCTATTTCATACTCTCAACCATCCACAGTAAACATCTGCCAAAGGAAGAATTACACACTAGAACCCTTTGTCAAAGTGCCTATAAGGAACTGAGTCTTTTATGGAGAAGGGCCTTGGTATTTTAGACAGAACTCTTCACTACACTGATGCTCCTTTTTCATTACTTACCTCTGAATGTACACCTCATGGCTGCATTATTCATTATTTACCTCTGAATAATACCTTGTTCATTATTTACCCTCATGGCTGCATTGTCTGTGGTAAAACAATTCCGGCCAGAAAGAGATAAAATCTTTGATTTACATTCTCCTTTTCAGCCAGTTACAAAGTGGCTTCCAAGTTGAGCAAGAACTGACAAAATATACTGAAAGGATATGGCAGAGGTGCCTGGTAACTGACTATTCCTCTCTGGGGCATTTATTCAAACAGAGAACAAATACAATTTATGCAGAAGCAATGCAGATATTGATCTCACAGCTCCAGTGATATGACCCAGCATTGTACTGGCCTTGGAGGAAACAGAACTTTCTTGCAGAATTTTTGTCAAACCAGTTTACAGTTATAAATTGCATTTCAACAAAACCATTATTCATTACAATTTATTGTTTTTTATTAAATCCCCACAAATAATAGGAAAACCACCCCAAGTCCACTTCCAAAGCCACTATTAAACTCCTGAGAATTCTGCTTTTCCATGTTTTCAACTAAAGTTGATACATACTACCAGAAAGGAAGAGTTATTAAATTTCCATGCTGAGTTTGCTGCTGTCAACATGTTTGGTCATATAAACAAGTTTAAAAGACCCATGTTAAAACAAAAAACAGAATCCTTCTTCTGTCCATACAAATAGTCCAAGAAAAACATCTGACCATATCAGAGTGACTGCTCCATCCTCACAAGAGGAGTGATCTTTTTTTAAATTTCCACTCATTGCCTCTCCTTCAGTGGTGCTTATGTGAAGCAAGTCAGTAATACCATAGAATTATTTTACAGATTTAATTATTGTCTCTTCTGAGATTCCCACTTTCCAGGGTGTACCCATCTTGTATACTGTAAACTGTATGCAGCAGGGAGTATCTATATTTAGATTTTCCAGAAACACAACTTTCTTTTACTAAACAAATAGTGAAAGAGCTCATTTCAGATCAGGCCTTTTCCCACGTTCAAAGGATCACAACTTTTTTGCATAGACCAGGATGGATGTTTGGAGGTGGTAGACAGTATATTGTTTAAGATTTCAGAAACAGACCAAAACAACAACAACAAACCAAAACCAAACAAACAAAAACAAAAAGAAGCTTCAAAACCCCAACAAAACCAAACCAACCAAACAAAAAGAACTTTATGTCTGTGTCTTTTAGGAACCTTTTCCCTCTGTCCTGTTAGGGCTTAGGAATTACCCATAGTTAGTGACATTAAATTTACTGTAAGAGGCATATGTGTAAGATATCCACCCATATAATGTGAGGCTTGATAGATTCTTATTCACAGAAATGTCTGCATAGATTATAAAAAACCAGAACTTGTCTGAGGCAGTGGGAAATCACTGTCAGAGGTAGGCTGAATGGCAGAAGTACCTGCTGGTTTATCCAAGCTCCAGACCTGCAGAGCACCTCGTTTCTCATTGAAGTGCTCAATGTGAGCTCGGCTGTCACAAGTGTACACTGTCAGCTCAGCTGAGAGGCCAGCATGAGAGGGGAGGCTTTCATACAAATGTCATCAACTGGAAGTAAATCTTCATCCTCATCTGCATGGAGGGCTCCTGTTGTTGTCCTGTTGTTTATCTTTGGTGAAAGATAAAAGTCTGTTCACTGTAGCTGTGAAGCTTTTAAGTACTCACCCTTTTACCTGAATTTGCCTTTTTCTGAAGCCCATGCTAGAGGTCTGTACCAGAAATCAGCACAGATCCAGAGAATGATTCAAACAGAGATATTAACAGCAGTTGATGGTTACTCTCAAAGACAAAACTTCAATAATTTATCAATAAGTAAGTATTCGCATTTCATTTAACAAAAGCACATTAACCAGTATTTGCAAATCTTTAAAGCAAAAGTCATTATGTTTTTTCCTTACTGTGCAGAATTTTTAAGCTGCTGCTCTGTGATATATAAAATGAAATTTCATTAATGCCTACTGTCATATATTCTGTCATATAATTCCAAGTGTATATTTAAATGTCTCCAGCTTAGCACATTTTTTACTGCATTTGTTGGCATTCTTAAAGACGGGAAATGTCCACTTCTCCTCACAAATATATGCTCGATTTGCCTTTCACCAACACAATGTAAGCATAGTCATCATAAAAACATGAAGGTAGTGGGAGAGTAAAGAAATACACTGCTATGAGACTGTAAGAAGTGTAAGTGCATTCAAATCAACACCTTC